GGATGCAAGGCTGTCCTTAGCCTCTTTGAGAGAAGCCTCGAGTTCAGCAGCCTTGGAACCTTCGCTCTTCGCTGTCTCGAGCTCGGCCTTGTGGGCGGTGAGGTCGTCCTGTGCTTGTTTCAGGCTAGCCTCCAATTCCGAGATCTTCGAGCTGGAAGACTCAGTAGCCTTGGTGGTTTCGCCCTTGGCAGCCTCAAGTTCAGATTCCTTGGTTGACAGGCTCTCCTTGGCTTCCTTGAGCGATGCCTCGAGGTCAGTGATCTGTTTTTGAAGACCCTCAGCATCGCCCTTGGAAGACTCGACGGCCTTGCTAGCCTCCTCCTTCGCGGCGGCAACCTCTGACTCCTTAGCGGCCAGGCTGTCGTGGGCCTCCTTGAGTGAGGTCTCGAGTTCGGTGACCCTGGAGGTGGAAGCCTCTGAGGCCTTGCTGGACTCGTCCTTAGCAGCCTTCAACTCAGCCTCAAGCTTCTCAACAGTCTCGCGGAGCTCAGCAGCCTCCTTCTTGGCAGCGGTGGTTTGTTCGTCGGATGAGCCCTTGGCGGACTCGATCTCGGCTTCAAGCTTGCTGACAGTGCTTTGGAGACCAGCGACCTCGTCCTTTGCGGAGCCAATGGCCTTGGATGCATCACCTTTGGCGGTCTCGAGCTCAGCGTCCTTGGCGGAAAGGTTGTCTTGCGACTCCTTGAGGGATGCTTCGAGTTCGGAGATCTTGGAGGTGAGGCTGTCAACCTGGCCCTTGGCCTCTTCGGCAGCCTTGACGGCGGCGTCCTTCTCGGAAGCGAGGGAGGATGAAGCAGCCTCGAGCTCGGATGTCTTTGCTGAGAGGCTTTCTTGTGCCTCCTTCAGTGACTGCTCAAGAGAAGAAACCTTTTGAGCAAGCTCATCGGAATCACCCTTGGACAGATCGGCGGTCTTAAGCTTCTCCTGGAGTTCGCTGATCTCGGTCTTGAGGCCATCGACCTCGCCCTTGGACGATTCGGTAAGCGAAGTGACTTGTTCAGTGGCCTCAGCGTGTTCCTTGGTCTTGGCGTCGAGCTCAGAAGCCTTCTGGTCAAGAGTGTCCTTTGCTTCCTTGAGAGAAGCCTGGAGCTCCGCAATGGTGTTGCGAAGACCCTCAGCCTCCTCTTTCGATGCCTTGTCAGCATCAGCATCCTGGGTGCCGCGGGCAGCGAGCTCGTCGGAGAGCTTGCTGTGAGAAGCCTCGAGCTCAGTGTGCTTTGCCTTGAGCTCCTCCAGGTCGGAAAGCTGGGTCTTAAGAACGGCAACCTCAGCGGCGAGCTCCTCGACCTTGGTCTTGTGCGCGTCACGGTCAGCTGCGAGAGTGTCGAGCTCATCCTTGGCGACAGTCTGAGCCTTGAGCTCGTCAATCGTGGCAAGAGCCTCGGCGAGGTCCTTCTCAGTCTTGCTCTTCTCAGCAGTGAGCTCCTCCAATTGCGACTTGGCGCTGGCGAGATCAGCCTCCTTGGCCTCGACTTCCGACCTGTCAACCGACTCGGCGCCGGCAGACTGGTGGCTGTCGAGCATGCCCTTGAGCTTCTCAACCTCGTCCTTGTAGGAGGCGACCTGCTTCTCGAGGTCGGCGACCTTTGCGCGGAGCTCCTCAGCCTCCTTGTTGACGTCGGCCATCTTCTCGTTGAACTCGGCCTCGCACTCGTCGCGCACAGTATTCCTCTCCTTGGCCTTGGCCTCGCGTACCTGCTGGACAACGACGCTGACCATGTGCTCCTCGAGGTCCTTCTTGTCCTGCTGCAGCGACGCCTCACGGGCCTCGAACTCCTTCTTGCGCTCTTCGTGGTCGCCCTCGAGACTGCGCACGTGCTCGTCTTGTGTGGCAGCGATGCGTTGTGCTTCGTCAAGCTCGTTCTCGGCGTGCTTGAGCTTCTTCTTCAGCTTCTCGATTTGCGTCTCGAAGCTGTCTGAGGCTGTTGGCGAGGGAGGTGAGGGCGAGTCTGCTGCTGAGGAAGGATGGGTCAGTATGTTGTGAGCGGGTAGGTGGTGCAGCGGGGACGCCCGCGAATGAAGGGAGAGCGGATAGTGAGGAGGGGCTGTCGATATTGTTATCGGGCAGGTGGGGGGTGAGTTCACGGTGAGCATCACGTACCTGCTTCATCTTCACTTAACCGTGTAGGCGCCTCGCGTGGTGTCTCTGGTGGGGTGTCCACGCCATTGTCCGTCTTACTCGACTCGACCACGCTCGGAGGTGTGGCGTCTGTTGTTACCGCTGGTGTAGCTGGTGAAGCTGTTGCGGGCACCGGCGCGGGTCCGCCGAAGAAGTAGTTGTACGCCCTCTTCATGCTGCTGGTTCGCTTGGGGAGTCCTGGTCGCAGGGAACTCGTCGATTTTCGACCTCGACGTTCTTCTGGCTGGCTTTGCTCGCCAGTCGTCGGTACGGGTGCAAAGGGTTCTACGACTCCGCCTCTCTTATTATTGCTTATCGTTCGTGGTGGTAGCAGGCGTCTGCTAAACTTCTGAGATCCCGACTGGATATCAGCGAGGATCTGCTTCTGCTCTCTCGAAGAGGCTCTAGGTAAGACGTTAGTTGTCGTCTTTATAGGTAGTAGACAATGGCAACAAAGCATTTGATGTTTCGCATCTAGGCATATACGAGGAAGAAAAAAAATATTTAGGACATGCCGCACCACAACGTGGTATCGTGGCAGAGAGAGCTTCTTACCAAAAGCAACAACAAGAAAAGAGTTCGTGTATCGTAACGTCCTCAGACAGATGGAGCAGTGATGAGGGGTGGATGGAGGGGAGGCAGAGGGGAGGATGACGGGTAGCACTCACTCATAGCTTTCTTTCCTGCCCCAGCTCGGCATGATTCACGCTCTACTGCTATCAGTTCCCTCTGTTGAAAGCGCCACTGTTTCCCGCGCGAGCCAGTCCAATCAATGGGGAAGAAAATTTTGTTGCCCTTTCTGAATTTGGGCGGGCCGTCCAAGTCTCCTCACCGCACGGTAACGAAATGGAGCTTTACTTATGTACAAGCACAACAACACGTTGGATCCTGCATGCAAGCCTGGTGGATTGTCAGGCGCTAGACGTCCGCTACGGGGTATATACATTCTCGAGGGGAGGCACGAGCCAGTCATGTACTCTACTACTCACGTAGCACATTAGCATGGGCGAGGCTGGACAGGCATTAATGCAAGCACAACGCAGATGGATGTCGAGGCCGAGGGCACCAGGGCCCTCGTCCGAGCTCCCAAGCGGCTCCACCTTGCTTCTTACCGCCTCGACTAGGGTCTGCCAGGGCTTCCTCGACGCCTCCCAGCGTGCTGACTACCCAGCCCTGGGGGATGCTGATGATGAGGATGCCGTTGCTTTTGACAGGCAGTCATGACTTTGATGAGGTATCGCGACCTTTGTACTCGCCAACGTCCTCAACACACGTCGTCTCCACCTCATCAGCTGGCGAGACCCTGTACCAATCACAGCCATGCACGTCAGTACCACCACGTAGGTCGCGTCAAGAAACATGCCATGAGCTCCGGGGAACGGCATTTGAAGCTGTCATCGCGCGGCAAACTTCGATTCTAGGAAGTTGGGCGAGCAATCGATAAGCTGGCAGCCAGCACATCTTCGCTGATCGTAGCCGACGTCGTAGGGCTCGCGCACGGTCACGGTCATGGCGCGTCGACGTGTGACTGTGACTCGGCATGATGTTATGCGAACCCCAATGGCTTGCAGGTACACGGTCTTTCTTTTGCAAGACTCGTTTCGTCTCGTCAAACTCGAGGCAACCACTGAGGCACGACACCTTGCCCAACTCTGAGACAAGGACACTCTTGACGCGCGCTCGCGCGCGCAAACGTCATGCAGGGCTTTTCCTAATGGGCGGTCGAAGCGTTGATGCGTTGTTCGATCGGATCCGCTGAATTAATTCTTGCCCAGTCAATTCGACTCGCCAACCCTTCTCTCGGACCGTCAACTTTCCATCGTCAACCTCCGTCACCTCGCCGAAGCCGCCTTGAAATCCCGAAAGTGGCTGTGATCGTTGCTTTCCCCAACCTCTCCTCTTAGCCCCAACACAATCGCATCGCCTTGTCTCGCGCAGTCTCTTCACCGCAAAACCACTGCACCCCAGAACCTAGTCACTCACGGACTGGCCCTGCATAACCGCACCCCACCCGTTGACAAGGCGCCGCGCTAGCCAGGTCAGCACTCGCGTTCTTTGCTCCACCGCCTCTTCGCATCAACGTCGTATCGTGGCGCGTGAGTAGAGAAATCACGGCAGAAAAAGTCTTTCGGCTGCGTTGTCGAGGTGACACCGCCAGTGAGGGGTTGTTCGGGCTGGCATGTGATTGTCAAGTGGCGACGGCATTGGAGGCATGGCTGATCTTGGACAGGAACGATGCTAGAATGTTCCCGGATCCTTTAGGCTGTGCAAGCAACTCGTGATATAATGATATTGGTGCTCTTTAACTATGGAAACTCCCATCCGTGGATGTATACTCCGGGCCTCTAACGCCGTGACTATGCTGAGATTCTGATGTCTAAGGAATGATAAGGAAGACTTTGTACAGCACCCACTGAGCAAACACGCGGGGAAGGAAAGACAACGACACCCACCGCTAAACCGATGTACCGACGCCAACGCAATTCAAGCGGACCGTTGTCGCCTGATTACCGAACGACCAGATCGCCGCGAGTGTCTTCGCGTGGAAGGCCCGCCTGCATGCGCAGTGCCCTCTGCAGACGTGGTCTGTGGAGAAGACTCGCTTGGACTCTCAAGACCAGAGGCAGACCGACGAGTGTCCGTTCCTGTTCGTAGAGGCCGTGGGCTAAGAAAGGAGGATACACGACGTGCCCCTTCGGTATTGGCTCTGCCGCTGAGGAAAATCTCTGGTGATTGAGTCTCGGCCGATTCTGATCGAGAAGCAAGTTCACGACTAACACGTCTCGCCTCTCGTAATACCTCTCTGCTTCTCCTGAATCGATCACGCCCTAGCCATGTATATGAAGATTAGCTTGATATAACCGACATAAGGGTATCATCCCTATTGCGGAGACCCAAACAGACCCCTGCGTATTCGATCACTGATACCACCATTACCCGGGCCTGCATTTGCGTTATCAGACGAGCTGCCCTGATCGTTGGACGGTGGGGGTGGAGATCCTGCAGGAACGACGTAGGGATCATTGAACGTTCCCGAGCCGGAAGGAGTGAAGGAGCCGGGCATCTGGGACGTACGATCCGTCTGTGAGTCTGCAGACGCAGGGTTGTTCGTCTGGCCCTCGCCACCCTTGGTGATACCCTTTCGACAATGAGGACAGGTGTCGTGCTCGAGCAGCCACGCGGATACACATGGGTGGTGGAACCAATGCTTGCATGGCAGTAGCGTGACCTGTTCGCCGATGTTGACCTCATCCATGCATATACTGCATTCAGCCTTGTGTTCTTCGCCTAGCATCTCTTCGGTCACATTAGTACGAGGAAGGGCATCGATATCGGCTTGCGTTGCAGGTCCAGGCGCGTTGCTGGTTGAAGTTTGTTCCATCAGTTGAGAAACAATGCGGTCTAGGCCCTCTTGAGAGTAGACAAAATCTCCCATGTTACTAGCAGGGCCCATCATGCCCATTGAGGAGAATAGTTGTAGGATAGGGTGTCCCGCGAACTGTTCGCCAGCACCATGAGTGTGTTCGCCACGGAAAGTACCCTCGGCGCCGCCCAAGGGATGGTTGTGAGCTTGAACGCGAGGAGGTGGTGCACCAAAGGTAGCCAGGAGACCAGTCAGGACACTGTATACTGTCAGCGGCTACAGACCAGGGTGGTTCGCTCTTACTTACTTGGTGATCTCGTCCACAGGCTCAGCCCGTCCGGGGTTGTTTCCTCCTCCAGGGAACAGACGAGCACCACCGTGATATGTAAAGGTCCCTCCGCGGATTTGAGGTCCACCACCTGGACCCTGGTTTTGAGCTTCCTGGAAAGCAGACTGGTTCGGGTTGGACCCTGGTGCGGCGCCAGAGAACAGACCCTCGCCCTGACCCTGTGCTTGACCCTGTGGTGGGCGTAATCCCGCTCCGGTGAGCCCGTTCAGCATGGCCATAAATCCGCCTATAGACCCTGGGACCGGCATGCCGCCCTGTGGTGATACAGAGCGCGTGACAGTAGCCTGCAAGTTGTACCTTCCCGGTCCCGTCTCTGTCCATCTAACATTGCTAATATCCCCCTCCTCTGGGTCATCGGTCTGCCATGGGTTGTGATGCGGATTCATATGGGGTGGGACGTTCTCGAGGTCAGGCAGAGAGTCGGATTCGTCGCCGTCGTGACCAAACATTCCGGTGCCGGCCCTTGGGTCATTGTTATCTTCAATCTGATCAGTGTTAGCGGAAATCGGTGCATATTCGCTTCATCTCGTGTCGAGCGAGCTGGAAGCTGATTTCCGCAGCTGAACTCACAATCTCCGTGAAATCTGAGCCGCATTCTGGACACGAAAGACCGTGTTCGTCCCGATACCATTCGTCGGCGCACTCGTGGCAAAACATCATGTCGCGATGCCCGGGTCGTTGGTTCTGTGACGGCGCATTCTGATTGCTGGACTGGTCCATAGTCGCGGGCCTGAGAGGGATATGATGGGACGTAGGGTAGTAGGATAAGATGGAATGAGGCTGAGAGGGATAAGTCAGCCGGAAGTGACGTTCGAGTAACGGGTACAAACTCACGGCCTTGTGTCGGAAGTAGGCGCGGAAGAGGACCAACTCAATCACTTATCATGCGCTATTGCCAGTCCAAGCAGTGACGTGGTGGCGAGCTGCAACAGCAGACAGGTACTGGGTCAAGTAGCGGAATGCGGAGACACCTGAAGGGGGGGTAGTTTGGCGTAGCAGAAGCTCTAAAGCAAGGCCTGCGGTAAAGTAATCGACGTTTGGCGCGAAAGTTGTCAGGCCGGAATGACGTTATTCGATGAGCAGGGGTAGTGGGGTCCAGCAATTCGTCCCGCAGTATCTTAAGATGGAGGGAGCTAATTCAGCACCTTGCCTTTTGGGGTCAATAATTTATGGGAATAGAAGTGGTAGAGAGACGGAGGCAAAGTCCTCTGTGTGTCTTATTGAACGTGGTAGCAGTTGATTGTCTTGCTCTGACTCTACGTTTGTTCGACTTGTTGTCTCTTCCCGCTTCTTCCATGTTCCATCTAGTTCTGAAGCCTTCTATCAGCCAAAGATCACCCAACACAGAGTATACAGCATGCGGTGCGAGTCTGGCGCGATCGCTTGCATGGTAGGAGAGTTTTGTATATACAGATATCAATAATTGCCATAAATTATAGCATCCCAGGCAAAGGTATAGAAAACCGCCAAACGCCTATGCATGTACTCATCAACACGATTGCGGACCTGGCCTGACCAATGGTCCAAACGACATTGCGCGTGTCATAGACTTGCGAGGACGATGCCCGTTCAGTTCCTTCGGGGGCCGCCCCTCAGCAAAAGGCTTCCCACAACCCCCGCAGCGACCACGATTCCTCCCACAATGGCGGCGCCCACTAGCCCCTCCTTTGCGACCTTCTCGTCAATAAGTCCCTTCAAACTTCCGGCCTGGAGGTTTGCGGGCTCCAACTCTAGCAGCAGCTCGTTGTACCGTCGGGCTTCAGCATAGTTGCCGAGCTTGTAGTTGCCTAGGGCGAGGTAGTAGAGGCATTCGCGCCGGCGCTCGCGCGAGTTGCGGAAGATCTCAGAGAGGAGGCGCACTCCCTCCTGTTGGTCGGGACGTGAGGAGGATTTGATCAGACCCTAGAATGCTATGAGCTTGTTTGTTGCGGGAGGTGCCGTGCGCATGTGAAGATATCACCAGACGCGGGGAAGCCGTACCCATGCGTAGTTGAACTTTGTCTGGAGCCCAACATATTCGCCCTCTTTCTCGTACTGCGCGCGCAGAACCTGTAGTTCCTCTGGCTTCAGCGGCGACTCAACATCGGCGGCATCTAGAGGGTATAAGCGTTCGTCGGCCCAAAAGTCGTTGTCCCACTCACATGGTAATGACGGCGGCATAGCGGCTGTTTATGTTGCGCAAGAAAATTAAGGAGCTGTGTCTACTAAGGAGGCGATGACTGCGTGCTGGTATCGTGGGGATGGCTTTTAGTGCAAGTGGTAAGCGTCAAACTACCGGCTGTCTCGTGAAAGCTCCTGCTGCAGGCCGAGCAGGCGATCTTTTACCGTGACGTACGCCTCGTGGCTACCGGCGCTTACGCCACGCTACGCCTGCGCCTTCCGCCACTTGGTCGCGGTTGCCATGCACGCGACCCAGCACGGGCCATACAAACAAGAACATCAACACCATGGGGCAGTCGCGATAGACGTCTCCATGTACTAGACCAGACGAATTCGCGCAAACATCCGATAACACTACAAACAATCACACTACATTTACACACATTCTGCGACACAAAATCCAATATGCTTCTCGACGAAGATCCCGCTGCCGTATGCACCTTTTCCACGCTCCTATAAACCAAACTCTCCTGACACTATCCAGCTCATCGCACAATGCACGTCGCACTTCAAAATCGCCAATGACAAAACGTCGCTTCATCGCATAAATGAATCCCTCAGCACACTCAGCGAATTTCGCACCCAACACCTTCGTTCCATCCAATCCTCCCTTAGCGCGCTGAACAGAACACACCAAACACTCTCCGCGAACCATAACCACACGCTCAGCCAACACAACCCAACAAACCATGCTGCAGAAATCTTGAGGTTAGATACCGAAAAGTTCAAGATCGCGAAGCAGGCGAGTGACCTGGAGATTGAGGGCGAGAGGCTGCAGAGCGATCTGGCAAGATTAGGGGGTGTAGCTGGCGAATTGGAAGAGGAGGGCGTAGAAGGCGGCGTTGAACCTAGAGCAGGTGAGGATGCGACAGTGTAAGTTGAATCTTCCATGTGTAAGGAGGCTCAAATACTGACAAGAATTTTAGATTGAAGCTCAAGCTCTACCGCACCCTCGGCATCGACGTCGAGGCCGACCCTACGACCGGCGAGTACAACAAGGCTGTCATTCGCAATGCCATCAAGGGCGACGTACATGTCGTAAACATCGATCCCAAGTTCTCGCGGCACTTCTACACAAACTACTTCTGGCGAACAATGTAAACCGAGAGCAGGATTTATCCCTAGACTGGATGTAGGCATAGACGCCAGCATGCAAATCAGGGGAAATGAGGGAAGGAAGAAGTTACTGTTCGGCTTCAGGCATGGGCGTTTGGTTATGATTTGCTTTCTGAGATACCTCTGGGATTTTGGCGTTCTTGGGTGTATATTACATACGAAAGTCACGTCACATACTCTTGAACGATCAAGATGAATGATAGCAGAAACTAGCTGATCGAGTCATCTTCACAGCTGCAGTCGAAAAGACCCCCTTGTCATCTGGATCTATGGATTCGAGCCGCGATGCCTAAGAGAATGCAATTCGTTTAGAGCTGTGCAGTACGCATGCGCCTCGTCGCGTTAGCGCAAATGCTGCCCTGCACCTTCTTTGTCAGCATACTGGCAGCCTGATTGGCAGACCAGGCTGTGCAAAGTGTTTTAGACTCTTCTGCCAACTACCTGATTATACAATTCGACTGTCTCGTCTAATCTGCGCCTACTGTCGGATACAGCTGAGGGAAGATCTCGCGATCTCGAGGAGCGGACACATCATCATGGAACAACCTCAAGATCATACATATTCCCATGTAGAATCCGGATCTCCTGGTGGGAACTCGGAGGCTTCTGTTAAAACAACCAAGAGGAGGGCCAGACAGGCAAGACTTCGACGTACATACAATGATTATAAGAAACTTCATCCCCAGGGTAACCTGTGTCAACGTTGTGCTGGCATAAGCTGGACAGACCTTCTCTCTGGAGAGGCTTATGATGAGGACGACAAATGGGATGAATTGAAGTTATTCAGCGTCCCTGAGACAAGTCAGGAGCTCTCTGCGTCGTCCTGTCCGCTGTGTCGACTGATGAGCTCCGATCAAATGTTCGGAAAGGACCCCAGTCGAACCCTTAGCGTTTACAACGTCTACCGCACTGTGGAATATGACACGAGTCATGATAGGAACGGTTGGAAGCAGTATACCCCAGGCCTCACATTGTTTGTTAGCCCTGCTTCTCAAGCGGAATTTCGGTTTGCTGATCGAGAGTACGTCCTACAAGACGCGTGTCCAGATACCCAAGGCTATGTACTCCGCAAGCTTGACCCTGAAAATATCGACTACGAGGTTCTTCGTCGTTGGTTGAGGTACTGCAAGGGTCATCACATAGCATGTGATCACACCTACGTTTCATTCATTCCTGGCCTCAAAGTCATCGACTGCACCACCGGAAAAGTCATTGATGCACCTGAGGATAGCGCTTTCCGTTATTTAGCGTTGTCTTACGTCTGGGGTAGTATCCAAAGTTCTGGAATAGATCAAGATGAATTTCCTGCGACAATATGCGACGCCATCACCGTCACGGTGCAACTAGGATACAGATACCTATGGGTTGATCAATATGTATGTAGTCCTGCCTTACTTGAAGCATCTAGACCTAATTAACCACAAGTACAGTGTATCAACCAGTTGGCTGGGGGACACAAACAAGCTCAGATACAACTCATGGGCCGCATTTACGCCGAGTCAGAGCTTGTCATCATCGCTGCAGCCGGCAGCTCATCCGAATATGGACTACCTGGTGTTAGCGTCAAAGCTAGAGAAGCCCAGAGAAGAATCCGACTGGAAAAAGATGTTGAGTTGATCGCAATGAACGTACCGGATCATATACTACCCAAGAGTACCTGGGCGCAAAGAGGCTGGACTTACCAGGAGGGTTATCTGGCAACGCGTAGACTCGTCTTCACAGACAAGGAGGTTTTATACGTATGCAACCAAGGAGCATGGCAAGAGTCTGTGCAGCGACCTGCCATGGAAAACGACGGCCAATACTTGACGATGGCGAACGAATGTTTTCCTAGAATGGGTCTATCCCCACACAACAGTCGGAAGGCGGTCTATCGTTTTCTCGACAACTATTCGCGCAGAAAGCTATCCTACGATAGCGATATTCTGAACGCCTGCACTGGAGTGTTGAATAGACTTGTGAGCCACCACTTCTGGGGCACGGTAGCTCCACGCGTGGATGTTCGCCGATGTAACTCGCTCTGTCTAGAGTGGCGCAGCTGGAATCCAGGCCAAAGAAGACAAGGTTTTCCGTCTTGGTCCTGGGTGGCGACCGCCGGTCCAAAAATGATCCCTTCATGCGCTTGGGGAGATCACAATGAAGGCTACGTTGCGTACTTACGCACAACTGATGGACGCTGGCTGTTCCCAGAGGAGCAGCATGAAAACCGAAGTGACCCTTTACCCATGAACTTTGGCCCTACTCTACGTCTTAGAGCTACACTCTACACAGCTTCTTTGAGCACTGACACAAAGCATATATACACGGAGGGACATCACAAACCAATGGTCGTTTTCCAGTCTACTGATCGGAATCGCGGTGAAGTCGAAGTTTTCTTCAAGCTGTGGCTTGACGCTGAACTCACAGAATCGGACTTGGTGAACGCTATTATAGCAATACTTGTCTCTGGCAGCACTGAACACTTAACACCTTTCAACATGGGTCCCGCTTTCATGATCCTTCAGGCAGTAGGACATCATTACAAGAGGATCGGCATCACAGACTATGAGGATCGTTGCTGGGTTCAAGAAAAGAAAACAGGGATGATATGGATGAAAGATCCTGATGTCATGTTGTCATACGATGTCTGTAGAGGTAGTGAGGAGTTCATCTATATTGAGTAAGACCCTGTCACACTTGGAAATTTGTATCAACGTGGAAAACTGGATGGCTGAAGCATAATAACACAACATTGTCTATCACTCGATGCATTACTTCATCATGAATAGTCGTTTGCCGTCTCAACGTCGTCGGTAAGCAACTCAAGTGCAGGCTGTACCATGCGACCCCACTCCGACCTTGCTTATAGTATCGCCCCCGAGTATAGCTCACATTTAGATCCAATGGTGGATGAGAAAGAGTAGTTCCCTAAGCCAAGCCTTACATGTGTAGCAGCATCAAAACTCCAGCAGCTTAGACCGGCCAATCTTCACACACGTTATCGCGCAGTTCTGCCTGTGTTGGGCTCATCCGCGCCGCATATAGTGTTAGTTGGGTGAAGGATCTCACGACTTCCTAATCCGGACATTCAACCGAGTATTATGAAGTGCTGTGCCTCAATATAATCACTTAGCTGCAGAACTCACTACCAGAATCCCGTTAGCTTTCATAAAGAAGGCATAGACCACTTCAACTTCCATGCAATGTTTGCTCAATAGGGAAGCCTGAGGCACGGTCGCCGCTTAAATCACTCGTGATACCTAGTGTTTGCCTAGCGTGATATGTATGGTTGCCTCGATTGAACGATTGTTAACAATTTGCGCCGCCGGATACCCCTTGGACTTCTCATTTCATTACGGCCGTACAAGCGCGCTTCAAATCGAACTACGTCTTACGCCCGCTCAATGCTCACATTCTCAATATATTAACATCCGTATTACCCCCGAAGTATTACCACGCTCTTAACTACCTTCCTAAGTCTCAACCCCTTCTCTAATAACGCGCATTATCAGCCAAGAAGCACCTGCAACATGCAATTCTTCCTCCCGGTCCTCGGTCTTCTGAGCACCCTTGCCAGCGCTGCACCAGTCGTATGTGAATTCCTCTTCCTATCAATTCTCCCTTCAAGAACTTTTCTAACGTGTCGCAGGTCGAATTGCAAACTAGACAAAGCGGCGCTGGTGGTATCATCTTCAAAGATCAAAACTTCAAGGGCGAATCTACTTTCATCCCCGGTAACTCGTATTGTACCGACGTAAACAACATCTTCGGCAACTTCGATGGCAAAGTGCGCAGTATCAAGTCGCTGCCGGGTTACCAGTGCCAGTGGTACATGTAAGTCTCTCTCCTGGAATTAGTTTGTTCCAAACTAACATCCAGTAGCGGCTACGGCTGCCCTGCCAACGGTGTCAAGCTCGACTGTGGCAGCAAGGATGCGTACGTGAGCAAGGGAGACCTGAGCCCAACCTTCGACAGGAAGATTCACAGCGTGTTTTGCACACCTAAGAAATAGTTCTCGTACGGTGTTCAAAAATGTGCTGTTGAGTACTCCGACGACCGTAAAAAGGGCGTGGCGGCGTCAGGTCTTTGACATGGATTGCGACCCTGGCCTATCGACTCGCACCAGCCTCTGGTCAGTTGTGTCAGTTCTCTTACCCGATATAAGAGTATGAAATTTTAATAGTAATTTTATAATTACCAATCTAAACCTTTTGAAGTAGTGAGAGATCTTCCGATTCTGCAGTCGTGCAGCATAGATAGGCGTCTAGACCTGGTGATCAACTATCGCCTCAGACCGGACATGAAGAGTTGGGCGTAATGGCATGAACGCCCGTTGGGGTTGCATAGCTGTTGGTGTGAGAAGGGATGAGCATGCAGGGAAATGGAGACAAGACGGGTGGACGGGCGGGTGAGACCGCCGCTGTTGTTGGCACTAACCCTGAATGAAGCGACCCACCCACCCCACTGCAATCCACACAGTCGTTCGCTCTCCGTCCAAGTGCCATCCTCATTCATTACCACGCCGCACTGCAATTCCGAACACGTCTTTGCTCGAGAAGACACGCTGCCTGCACTGTCGAGATGCCCGGAAACCGAGGCCCCGCTTCTTCACTGTACTACCACTGCACCTCGGGTACCATTTGGCAGACTCAATCCACGTCAGCACGTCTAGTGTTTGAGAGCTTGTATAAAAGAAAGCTATCCTGTGGGAGAATATGCGAGGCGATGTTTCTCATGAATTGAACTCAGATTGGTAGCTTACTGTGTGATGCACCATACTTTCGTCGTCATTTGGGGCCCCACACCTTTCATCGGCGTTTGTGGCTGCGTACTCATCCAACAACGCCAGCTCATGTTTACTCAGCATTGCGCTGATCAAGCTTCCTCACTAATTGGAGTCAGAAGTCTGGCTCGCATACAGTTACCGAAACGCATTGTTGAGCTGCTCGACGACATGATTATACCGGATGCTACACGCAACTTTGGCAGGCGGTTGGAATCAAAATCAAGAACCACGAAGATGCATTGCCCCTTTTCTATCGAATCATGTCTTTTCAAATCGATTCTCTTTCACTCTCGCTTGGTGACAGTCCGTGAATGATCTGGTAGGTGCTCGTTCGGAATAGATCCACATGCTTCAACTTGGACTCATCATAGAACGCCATTGTAACAGAATCATGGCTTTTTGCACGTACGCAGACCGTTTACGCCCGATTAATCCTCTTCCCAAATAATGCGCGCAAGTTTCAGAAGGTAAGAGCCGGTCTCAGAAATGATTGTTCTTCTGAAATATCACGAACCACTCTTCGACAAATCCAGAACACCAAGTCCAAGAACGAAGAACTAGGGGATCTGCGGGCTGTCACTCGAAATCAAGCACCAGAGGAGACCAGAAGTGTCTAAGATCGATGTAATTGAGCGTATGAAGTGCGGCACAGCAAGGTGTACATCTAGTCGTGTTTCAAATCCTTCGGGCCTCATTATCGACCTCGCTGACCGCGACCGCCAGATTCATCCGTCTTATCTGGCCCTTATCCTATCACATCTCTTGATTTGTTTTGGAGTGCTATCTGGCCTATCATCACAGGTAACAATGGCGGAGGAATGGTTCATCGACCAGCAACCACAAGACAGCGCCCCAAGCCTGCATACAGATCCTATGATGTAGTCATTTCTCGTCGCGCAGTACGGCAGGAGCCATACGGGACGGGACGGGCGCCTGATCGCTTGTTGTGGAGACCATAAAGAGACTGTCCACGTCCCCGGGCCTACTATGTCAGCTTGGTCCTCTCCAAACGTACCAACAGATTTTATAGTCCCGATTTAGCTTGTGTGCTCTGTATCACAGGCCATATCACAGACATTCCACCATGAAGTCCTTCACAGCGCATTCTTGGCTTGAGTTCTGGTTTTACGGGCTTTATCCTGCACTTATGGTCGCACTGACATGCATCGGTGTCTTGGCCACGTTAGCTTTATGGCCCTTCCATATGAAGTCCACAACACAGCTTTGTGAAAGATGCAAGTCAGTAGATGATAGTCCTTGACTGTGTTGTATGCTAAGCAAGTCATAGGCAAAGAGAGAAGAGCGATGATTCGGAACGAGTGTCTACAAGCGCGACTTTTACCACCTCAGATGCTCGACTTCATCCACATCAGAAGGTCTTCGAACCAGAACCGAGTAGGTCTCAACACCCTGCTTTTCGATACTCGTTCATACCGCCTTCGCCTTTTGGAGCCGGAACCCCAATTCGAGTGCCCTCATTCCGCACATCGTCGCCATGCCAGCCCGATGGAACGCCTGTACGCGTTCGCTCGCTACGACATTTCCTACTTCCACCACCTCTCAGCCGCCATCGTGCAGATGGAGAGCAGGGTTCTGATGGCGCCCGGACACCTGATAAAACACCCAGTGTTAGTAGACGGCTAAGTGCTGTTGCGGAGGATATGGTAGATGCTATTATGGTTTAATTTGATCGGCAAAGGTGAAGCAACTATTGGGCGCTAAAGCACATACAAAGTTACGTCATAGCCGATTCGGTATCAATCTAGAAGCATTACAATCCACACTACGATGAGATGAACAATGTCAGAAGGCCTTGCATGTTTAAGACGAAGTCATGTAACTACTCGGAATCAAACATGGTGCATTGACACGCGACTGACGAGCCACTTTTCCGATGGTGAGCTATGGAGGTTTCCGACTTCGGCATGAATGTCCACTTCAGGATGGCAGATCCCCCGCCAAGGCCTACCGATGCTACCCGAAATCTCGCATCTGAGGAATCCATTTCTTGAAGCTTGAACTTCGTCATTCCGACAACACGACCACATGGCTGCCCCAAGATTGCCATTCCTATGGCCTATGCTGTTCCAGCCGGCGAAATCGCCACGCGTGCGCGCTTCGATAGCAAAGGAGAATGCGTCACGCACGCGACGAGCACGTCGTCATCTCACGACTTCATCCCGCCGGCCGGAGCAGTCGATCCCGCAGCGATACGGAAAGGCATATGAACATACAGCTCCAGCATTAGAACAAGAGCCGCCGAAGGAACCTCAGCAAAAAGACCTAGCGACCACGGAGAAACCCCCACAAGACCCCGTTCACGAGCAAGAAGAAGTAGAGGAAGATGCGCCAACAGCAACTACCAGTCCATCCACGCCCAGCAAGACCAGCGCGACTGAGGAGATTGAGCCGCTCAAGACTCCAGCGCCTGATCCTCCAAAGACGGGCGATCCAAAACCCCTCGATAGCGTCCTCCACATACCCACCGCTGCGGAAGAAGAGTCTCACAAGGCACCGCACTTGAAGACGCCACCATATGTCCACCATTTTGACACCTATGGTCTCGTCCGCAAACTCTCGCAATCTTCATACACCCCCGAACAATCCATTACCATCATGAAAGCTGTGCGACAAACGCTATTGGATAACATGGCTTTGGCGCGCGAAGGCCTTGTTAGTAAGAGTAACGTGGAGAATGACACGTATCTTTTCCGCGCGGCATGTAGTGAATTGAAGACTGAGATTGGAAATGCGAGGAAAGGAGAGATGGAGAGGATGCGCACGGAGAGGGGGCAATTGCAACACGAAGTCGATATCCTGGGGCAGAGGCTGGGACAGGAGACAGGTGGGCTGAGAGACGAGCTTAAGGGGCTTTTTGACGACAGGAAAATGGCCGTTCGACAGGAACAGAGACACATGGAAACAAAGGTATGGCATTTCTTGCCCTGGCTTGCGCAGCACACGTGTACTGACATTCTGCTAGATCCAAGAACTCAACTACAAGATCACAGTTGCCCTCAACTCTGATGCGCGCTCTGAGGTCGAGGGTCTCCGATGGGTGCTTACTCGCCGCGCGGCCATTACAGTCGGTGTCAGTGCGTTTATGCTCTTCGTTGCGCTACGCTATACAAGTTATGTGCAACACCAGCTGCAGGAGGAGAAGAGGAGGAATCCACCGCCTCATCGGCCCAGTCCGTTGGAGGATTTGGCGGACCACACGTCCACAGCGAGCAGACCGGTTGTGGATATTGCGAGCCCGACTCAACAGGATGCCCTTGGTGGTGAGCTTTTGGCTACCGAGGGCGTGTCATTGGGTTGAGCACCAGCAAATAACAAGACATTTGGGTGCAAATGAACATGAGGCAGATGAGCCTGCATATATTCCATCTCTCAGCGAACCTGCGTGAACAAACCCCTACAGCTTGTGCTTCTTCTCTCCACTCGCGAGTCTCGCAAACTCCTTCTGTGGCACGCCCTTCAAAAATCTCTGCAACCCACCCATAACCTCTTCCACACCCTGGCGATCCAACGCCTCCCTCATTGGTTTCTGAATCAACTCCTTTATCAACACCAAACTCTCGCTGTTGAGATGATCGCCCAGTCTCTCCTCAACCTCCTTCCTGACCTCGCCCAGAAACTTCCCACTGTATTGTTCGCTCTTGACATCAACTCCAGCTTCAATGACTTTGTTCACGAATCCCGTAGCCACTAGTTCGTCACACGTAATGCGTTTTGACATGATGAGCGCCTCGTTCGCCTTTGAAATGCCGAGGCGTCGGACGAAGCCTATGCTGGCATTTCCTTCTGCTACGAGACCGAGGGAGGAGAAGGGTGTGAGGAGGAAGGTGTGTGGCGCAGCGTAGATGAAATCCGAGAACGCGATCAACGCAGCGCTGAGCCCGACAGCTGGGCCGTTTAGGGCTGTGATGAGGATCTTGGGATGCGTGTAGAATGCATGTGTTATGTGTAGGTTGTTGGACACAAAGGACTTTAGGTACTGGTGTCTTTCGTCGATGGCACTGTGGTCGGTTTTGGAGCCAAAGGTTACGTCTGCGCCGGCGCTGAAGAAACGTCCCTTGCCTGTTAGGATGGTGATGTAGATGTCATCTCTGGCTGCGACTTCATTCATGGCGCGTGCGAGCTGGTAGTATTCATCGGCACCCAGAGCGTTAAGTTTCTTTGGTACATTGAGAGTTATTATGGCGGTTTTGCCGTGGTAGGTCGTTAGGATGGGTTGGTCAGACATGTTGGGTGAGTGTTTGCTGTACAAGTGGTTGGAGTGTTGAGGTCTGGAATGGATGAGACGGAGTAGAGCTCAAGATATTGTGCACGTCTGTAGGAGTCTTGGGGAGATTCTTAGGTGAGATGTCATTGAGCCGAGGCTAGAATGCGGAGACGGAATGAGCATTGTGAGCGCAACCGAACGCGACAGAGTGAGGTAGGTAGATGAGGAGAACATGCGCATTATCATGATACCTTTGGAAGTTTTGAGTCTATTGCTGTGAAGAGTAGGAAATATCGCGCAACGATTACACGCTTGGAGCGGAGAACGCATGTGAAGGACGCGGCTTCCCCAGCTTCGACGTGGGGAAACTGACGCGCTGGCTGAGGCTGGAGATTAGATCCATGTGAACTAATCGCCGAACCATCACCGACCAGATCTGTGCATCTTCGACTCCATCATCACTCCACTTGTGCGCCAAAGTTTCGAGCCGCGCCGCAAGTCGCAAACTACCCCAACCACAAACCGCAAAGATGGGCGGCCCTAATCTAGAAGTATTCAAGGTACGTACAACCGCCAGAAAACTCTTTGCGACATAATGGAAAGCGCCCACCACAGAAGAGTCCTATTCGACTCATCAAATTCCGACCAGAACCGAACCTGGACCCCTCTCGTGCGCGTAACTAACCAGACCTTTCAGTTCGGAATGTACATTCTCTTCCCAATCAGCATCATGTACTACTTCGGCACGAATCTCGACGGCAAATTCACGGTCCCCGATTTCTGGCCCAAGCCAGGCCAGACGCACAAGATACCGTACGATAGGGATGAGATTGCAAAGGAGTTGGAGAGGTTGAAGCAGAGGAATTTGGAGAACAAGAGGAGGAGGGAGGAGCAGGAGAGGCTGAGAGATCTGGGTACTGGGAGGGAGGAGTAGAGATGGGGATTGGGCCGATAAAAGGCACCGAATGACGAATAAACAAGACGAGAAGCGACTATGAGACAGACATGAAGTTACAGCACAAGACGTCATGAAGTCATTTGCATACAAGGTGCTGAGCATGGGGATACATCTTGTCCGCACCGATATCAGCGGTATTGTACAACACTGTATATTACAAAAATGTACAACAGCCTGGAGGGCCCGAGTCAGAGATCATGCGTTGACCTTGCCTCTCAACTCCTCCCAGACGTCATCTCCTATACTACCTTTTGTCCAGTTCATATACACTCCTTGTACACCCTGCACTTCCTGCAGGTCGTCCAGGAAGCTGTTCAATTCTTTGGCCGCTCCCTCGTCCTCCAAAGGTACCTTTGTATCCTCATTGGGATCGTAGATGATCTCACTCTCCTCGATCTCAAGATCTAGCTCTTTGGCCAGTTTCTCCGCCGTCTTGTTTGTCGATGCAGGTTCTGTGTATAGCACGACTCTCCCTTCAGCATCCTCGTCGACATCCAGTACGCCAGCGTCTAAAGCCGGCTCTAGTACTTCGTCGACCCCAACACCATCTTTTTTCCGTAATATTATCCGACCTTTTTTCTCAAACATGAAGGCTACCGTTGATACACTGCCACCTGCCTCTTTTACAAGAAGGCGCAGATCGGCTAGGGTGCGCAGCTTGTTGTCTGTTTGGCATTCGACTATCGTGGCGATGGAGGGCGGTAAAATGGCTTCGAGTAGGACGTTCTCGAGAGCGGCACCTGATGCGGAGAGACCTTGTCCACGGGCTATTGCGGCTTCGATAGAGGCTTTTGGCACGGCGGACTTCTTTGCGGTGGAAATTGCAAGGGCAAGGCGGGGGTTCATGTCGGGATTTGGGCCGGCGAGCTTGACGGCGTTGGTGATGTCGCGGGTCATGAGAGACCGCTGCTTGGATTTGCCAGCATCGTTTTTGGCTTTGTCATGTTTGATAGTCGCCCACTTGCTATGTTGTGTCAGAGACGTGCCGTTGGAATGCGAGGACGACGTACGAGTGGCCTGATTGTAGATTTGGGGTGGTGCTCAAACATCGCACTTGTTCTTGTATGCGCCAATTCCTCGAGCACGGGACATGCCGACAGGAGCAGGCTATCGCGCTGTCTTTGGAGATAGCAGATAGCACTGCACGGCGAACTGGGATAGACATGGGGATCGATATGGATTGCTATCTTCACGTGTAACAAAAGTTGGAGATGCACATGGTGCCTGCCAAGACGGGGGTCCGCAATCCCACCTGCACCCACCGGCATCTCCACACTCGACATCTGTCAAGACCAGGCCGCCCCACGATATGAGCAGCCGAATGCGATAGATTGCGACAACACGACCCAAGTCGCGCCATCTCCCCATCAGACATGGCCGCAGACGAGCCAGCCGCAGACAAGGGCCCCTCCAACCCTGAACTCGATATCAAGAAGCTCCACGCGCTCCCTTCGGAGCAGCAAGACCTGTACTTGCTGACCTTCAGTTCCGACCTCGCCCGCCATGTAGCTGCCCTAGATGGCGACGGTGCCTCGGCGCATCAGATCTACATCAAGAAGGAGATATTCCAGATCATCAACCTCGCATCCCCCGCCCCCACACGCGTAATCCGAAACAACCTGGGACGAGCCATCGCTGGAATATTCGAGAAGGGAGACCGGAAGCTGCTCTTTGAGTCGATCAACGACGCGGTCGGCATAATCAATGCGGCAGGAAAGAGCGACAAGGACGTCAGGACGAAGCACGCGGCTGTGCATTGCTTGGGCGCCATCTTCGAGGCGGCAGGAGACAGCGCTATAGGCCTATCACCACTAGCAGTCAAGTCGCTGCTGGGTCTCGTCAAGTTTTCGCAAAACTACACTGGACTGCGAGCGGCCGTGTTCAAGGCTGTAGGGAAGGTCTTCAAAGGGGTTAGCTCACACGCCGATGAGCTCATCGCAAGAGATGCTTGGAAGCAGGCACGCAATGCTGGTAGCGACAAGTCCCATCTCGTACAGACAGCTGTTTGCTACTGTCTTGAACAGCTACTCCGACACACACCTTTCTTCGACAACTCCAACGACTTCGACAAACTGCAAAACGTGGCTTGGAAGGTCATTGACAGTTCTTCATCGTCTGTGAGACATGCTGTTGCTTCGTGCATCAGCGCGGCCTTGGTAAAGAACTATTCCGAGAACGCGCCAGTCGACCTTCCCATCCTTGGTATCACCCGTTCATCGACTGCGCAGAAGAAGAAAAAGAAGAAACCCGGCGACGATGATGGCGATGACATGGTTATGGAGCGCTCTGAATCTCCGGCGCCCAGAAAGTCGGCTACACAGCTCTCATTCACAATAGCAAGTCTACTCAAACTGCTTTCAACACAATACTGCCGACCCCAGGCTGGTACCCGCGCAAGAGCTGGAATTGCTGTGTGCTATATCAAGACCATCAAGGGCCTAGGCGAGCAGATCATCGAGACCAAATACCCAGAGATTGCGCGAAGTTTATTCACGGATCTTCTCAGCAACAACATCATCGTCCAGAACCGCTACCGCACACTCAGTACGAGGAAGTTTGTCGCCGTCATCTTGGAATCAGTCATCGGCCGCGAGATGCTCGGAGAATCTGGTCAGCTCAATGCTGCAAGGTTCTTGGTCAACGAGATTCTGAAGGACTACCCCCAAGCGCTCAAAGAACGTCCAGAGCCGACGAAACAGACCCTCATTGGGGCTCTGAGTACCCTATCCTCGCTGTTCAACAGTTTAGGATCGGCCACCAACGTTATTGCCGACTCCTGCCGCGATGCACTCCTTCAGGTTTTGCAGCATCCCAGTTATACAGTTCAGGTAACAGCCTCAGCCTGTCTTCGCTCGTTCGTACTTGCATGTCCTCTTCAGTTACTTCCAGCGGTCACCATATGCATGAACAGCGTCAATCGAGAGCTTGGCCTCCTTGCTGGACCAAGACAATCACCTAGGAAGTGTGTCGGTTTGGCCAACGGCCTTTCTGCCGTACTCAGCACATCTACGTCTCAACCACTCCATGGATCCGTAGATGTCAACTCAAGAGTACTGTCACAGGCCACTTCTCTGCTCAAGTCTGCAAGCAATTCAGATCTGAGAATTGGATCTACCCAAATACAAGTTGCTTGGATCTTGATTGGAGGTTTGATGACTCTCGGTCCCAACTTTGTCAAGATACATCTGTCACAGCTACTTCTCTTGTGGAAAAACGCACTCCCCAAACCGCTGAACAGAGACAACATGGTGCAAAGGAACTACCTAGAATTGTGTTTCCTGGCACATGTTCGAGAGTGCGCACTAGGTTCCATCTTGACATTTCTGGAGTTTAACAGCCGTATATTGACACTGGATGTTACCAAGAGATTAGCCGCGATGTTACAGAACACAACCATGTTCTTGAACACTTTGCCGGCTAAGAAGACAACCGACGATATGTCTCAACGTCTTTCCCCCGCGCTTCAGCTCCACGACTTCGACCTGATGGTACGGAGGAGGGTACTTCAATGTTACACCAGACTTGTTGAACTAAGTCCGGCCAGCACCCACGAGGTTTTACTCCAGACAAATCTGCTACCTTTCGCTATTGCGTCCTTTGCAGAGCCCGACAACTACACCACGAGCTCTTTCAGTACTGCGATTGCCAGTGCAGCAGGAACTTTTGAGAGCATTTGGGAGGTGGCGGATAACCATGGCTTTGGAGTCACTGGATTGGTGCGGGGATTCGACATCAAGCCTCTTCGTGGAGAGCAAGAAACTGGTACCTATCATCACTGGCTCACGAGGCATGGATCCGAGGCCATTATCGATCGCACACTTCTTTCGCCCATCTGCGGGGCTCGCGAACACGACTCGATATCCTTGTACATCAGGGCATCGGACGAGAACCACGAGCTCCCTGACCCACCAGCCACGGAAGTTGTCAACGCAGCACTTCAGCTATTCGCCATATGTCTCCCATTACAAACAGCTAGGATTCAGGAAAGTATCCTAGAGCAGATGACATCCTTCTTATCGGCTAGTAGCCTGCAGCGTGATATTAACAGAAAGACGGCTATGAT